TCTGACAAAAAAAACAAGATTCAGATGAACATGGAGTTCTTTGATTTGATTATTATATAAAACTTTTCTATCAGTATTATGATGATAGTCTTTAAATTGGTTTTTACAAGTTTTGTAAAGAAATTGTAAAAAGTAAAAATGGAGGAATTTCATATTTCCACAAGATGATGAAAGTAGTCATTAACTTATTTCAATCACTTCCTGAGAAGATTTCAACAATGTTACTACACACAGGAATCACTAATTCAAAGTCTAAATACAGAATTTTAATAGATGTGTCATTTGGTGCATAACTCTTCAAGTAGTTTAGATGAACCCATGAACTAAATTCAAGGATTGAGTAAGGTGTTGGAACTTGGGGGAGTTTTTGGAACCATGGAGATTTGCCTCCTCATTCTACAATGAAGAAAGAGAACAAAGAGACCTGTCTTTTTTAGATAGACAGCTAACTATCAGTGCACTAAAAGAAAAAAGAACTTAGCCTTCTTGCTTTTAGTCCAGGCCTCCACTAAATTCAATTTATCTCATTCCAAGTACTTTGTAATGATCACATGTACTTCTTGAATTTTTTTTATTTCCTAATCCCATTTCCAAATCATCTGATTAAAAAGAATATCAGATTTATGGAGTGACTCCAACATAGAGCCAAGAAAATTTAGTATGGCCAAAGAATTTTTAAATTTCCTCTTACCTAATGTTCTTGATCTTAAAAGAGAGAAAGTCATTTAAGTAACTTGCTACAGCCAAGGGATGAGCCACAAAACTACAGAGGACCAGCTGTCCTGAGTCTTGGGACATTCTTCTATATTTTATACGAATTTACAGAATAAATCAGTACTCACTGGCTAACAAGATGGCTATGAGGGCAATTCCCTGGATTCTTCTAAACTAACTTAACTATTAAATAAGCAGGACCAATGAGCTGAGCTCCATAAAGTCCCCTGCTCCTTTCTAAAGCAAGGTGTTTGTAAGATGGGCCTCAACAGGCACTAAATAATAGGTTCCCAGAGGTAAAACTGCTCCATGTCACAACCAATTTTTGAAAGTTACAGAAAGGAAGAGCAAAGCACCAGAAAGAAGTAACATTTAGGGAGTCTCGAGACCCAAATTGGAGTTGAATTAACAGTGGCTCTGTCGTTTTGGATTCAGCAGTGTCCTTCAGGTCATTCTCAACAGACACGTGCACCTAATTATACACCTGCCACAGGATTTCCTCTTTTTGTAGAAGATAGGGGTGGCTGAAAGTAGGGTATCTCTATGCAACAATCCTGGCTATCCTGGAACTTGCTTTGTAGACCAGCTGGCCTCAAACTCACAGAGATCTACCTGCCTCTGCCTCCTGAGTGCTGGGATTAAAGGTGTGAACCACAACACCTGGCTTGCCAAAGGACTTCTAAGAAGTTAGATTTTATGAACCTCTATTTTTCAATTCTTAATATCTCCTCTCATTGTTGTCCTGAGACTACATCCACCATACGCACACAATGACAGCAAATCATATATAAATTATATGCTATTATGCCAATAATCACTTTTCTTTAAAAACAGCATTCAACACTATTAACAAAATAATAGTCTAACTGATAGATCTCAACAAGAGTGCAACCAGTCTTTCTGAAATTCATTATTGATAGACTTCAAGCCCTGTTCTTAGTTTATTCCTCAGTTTGTATGTCAACATCAAGTAGCACTTACCATACACACACACACACACACACACACACACACACACACACACACACA